CTTTTATAACTGGTCCCATCATGCAATATAACACCACAAACGAAATGTTCACATACTCGTGCAAAGTTATATTTCCGTCCACTATTACAGAAATTTTATATAAACCAATATAAACATATAGATACTTAGAATAATAACGCATAGAAACCTAGTCCGCACACGCTAAGTGAGGCAAATTGAAGCGCTCCCAAAGGGCCTACACGAGCGGGCGGGCCGTCAGTGCTCAAGGTCAACTTGCACCGCGAATAGATCAAGAATTTTAGCTAAAAATGACGAAATGTGCGGTAAATGAGTGTAAAAATACATCAGACATGCATAAAATAGATACTAACATCACATTCCACAAGGAAGTAACGCGTTTCAACTTGTATTTTTATATAAATATTCACTAAAACCGAAATTAACCTACTACTACAATTAGCCTACATGAATTTGATTTTTGCCTCACTTGTGACAGTTCGTTTGATATGAAACTATCATTCTATGCGTTATTATTCTAAGTATAGATAGTTATGCAACTGGTATACTGTTATTTTTATTAATACAATTTCTAATAATAACGCACACACTCAACATAGCCCCGCATTAGGGAAACCCTGTGCACACATAGACAACCACAAATTACACCCAAACTCACGAGAGGAATAAATGTAGGCCATACAAATATTTCTCCCGGCCCGGGAATTGAACCTGGGACCTCTGCGTGGCAGTCTGGTAACCTTTCGGCCACGGAGGCAGTGAAATACAATTTCTTGCTTTGGGTAATGAAGATGAAATGAAAAGATTGTGCGAATCATTCCCATGCTACATACTTCGTTTAGTTTGCATAATAAATTAACGAAGCTTTCACAGATACAAGGCTTTGCTTTAAAAATAAGAATGAATTTTGATTTTTAAATTAGTGTATAATATTTTTCATAAAACTAAATGCGCATTGCGGTTAAGGTCGGTATCTATTTATTGACAATTATTATGAATTATTGATAGTTATTATGAATTGTTGATAAATATGAAAGTTAGTGGAATAATAAATGTACTCGCGTACGATTTTGTACCAACACCACAGTGCGCAATTAATTTTCTTTTGAAAATTCAAAAATGTTTAAAATTCTTGAAACTTACCATACTGGTCGAGGTACCGGTGGGGTCTAGGTCGTCTACCTCCATATCTTCGTTGTCCTTTTGATCATCACTCTCGAGAACTATATCACCTGCATAGAACAGTTCAGGTTTAAATTAATTTGGGTATTCCGGAATAAATTGGACATTCGGGTGTAGTTAGACATTTGAAAATATTTACAAGAAAATAAGTTTAAAGTGATTTGGATATTACGGAATAAATCGGGCATTCGGAGAATTATAGCGTATATGTACGAGAATGCAAGGATGAGAACCTTCAGTGGTAAAAGAGGGCAAAGCCTTGTACTTATTTTTTTTTATGATACCAAGTGACAGGACGAATACATGTCCTGCGCCTGGTGTTAAGAGACATGCCTGTCCATAACAGTTGCAGTGCCACTCAGAGCTTCACATCGCAAAGATCTGAGGAACACTACTACTGCGCCGGTTACTGTGAGATAAGAGTAATTTCACCAGCACCCTTACCCTTCAAAACCGAAACACAGTAATGTTCTCATTAGGCAGAAATTGGTATCGACTGTATTTATTTTGTATGTGTGAACGGCATTTGTGAACCGATTTTAATGATTTTTTTGTTGGAAAGAGGGTACCTCAGTATTTATTGCTCCCATTTGAATTTGAAGAAATATTTCACCTCTATGGATGGCAATCTAGGCGACGAATCCGTTTCGCGCACTTTCCGGTAACCGATTGTTACTAACTTTAACTTTCAGTTTTTACGTAAGCAAAGTTTGAAATCGGTTCTTTTTATTTAACTTTCTTGTTTAATATACTAAATATTATAATATTTATCCTCGTAAGTTCATTGTTTCCCATTGATTCCCATACATATCAGAGCAAACTGGCATATCCCCTTATGGTAATAATAGTTCGCCTGTTCTTGAACCCGAGTCTCTCTGATGCGAGCCCACTGTGCCGAAGAGTACCGCGTCTCCTATGTAATCTTTGCAAAAAGTATGTACTCGATGTATGTATTTATTGGAGTCAAGGATACCAAAAAGCCTTTTGTCAAGGGTCAAACCTCATGTGGAACAAAAATCTCTGCTTTCAGAACCGGGAATGAACGTTGTTTCTATTAATATAGAAAGAATTCGGATGACCACTTTTTAATCCTTTGGGAAATGTGCCTCAAAAATCATGTGTTCCAGAAACGCATCGTAAATCGTCGACACGCTAAGAAGAAGAATGTTTATTGGAAATGAAACAACTTTATCCCAACTAATTCGAGGATATTTGTTTTTTTCAAACAAACCAACGTTTCTGCCTAACCATGGGATTTGCAAAAAGCACAAAACATGTTTGTTTCAAAAAACAAATATACATGTTTAAGATGCTAAACAAAATAGTTTTATTTCCTATGTGTAGCAAATCTAGCTAAAACATAAGAAATTATGAAGTATAATAATTATTTATCTTACTTTTCAGGGCAATGATCTTAAGACCATACATCCCAGTTCCACGTTACTACACAATTATCATTAGAATATATATGAACATATGAACTGTATTAAACATATTTATCTTCCTTTTCAGGGCAATGATCTTTAGACCATACAGCCCAGTTCCATGTTACTACACAATTATCATTATTACACTCTCAACTTTTTTCTCTTGTGTTATTTTGACTTCTAGCTACATTTCACAAATTATTATTATTATCAATATTGACCCAAATCACTATCACAGTGTTTAAAATTATTGACCAATTTTAAGATCAACGTTCGTGCTTCTCTATGTGGTAGTTATAGAATAAATAAATAAAATATTTTTGATTATTATTTAAAGCCATATAACGTAACAATAGTAACCTTCAGCAGTGCCACAGTATAATTATACTTATTTTATAGCTATCAACTTGTAGACAACATATTTTCATAAACAAATTACGAACATTTACAAAAAACCGTCGTCCATTTCCATTTTCTACAAAGATATGGATTGTTAATACAGTTAAATATGTGACAGTTGCATGTTTACATATTCATCACTACATTAATGTCTTTAATCTTATCAGTTTAATTGGGTTATAATCGTTTAGTTCTACACTTATAAGGCATTTGACTTCTTAACAGTTAAAGAAAAATAATGCAAATGCGCGACGGCGGGAGTTGCAAATGTCGCGTAGCTTTGAGCGTGTACGCTGCCCTATTGAACACAGACTTGTATCAAAGTATAATAAGACAAACATGGTAACTCCATTCATAAACAGCAGAACGGCTTACATGTGTGCACACCCGCCCCGCGCTGTGTACGGATGCACACTGTCGCATAATAATGAAAGGCGCCTGAGACGACCAGCGCTATGTAAAATTATGCGAATGTAAACGTTTGTATAGAGTTACCATGCTTGTATTATTATACTATGCTTGTATTGATGTGTTTTTGAAAGAGAGTTTACAGCGTGTAGATAGGGGTCCTGTCCAGTGGGAGAGTGGGGCATTTAATTGAAATCTATTAAGGCGTTTTTGATAAAACGTTTGAGCATTTCGTCAAGCCTATACAAGGGGTGATTTATTTATGACCAAAGATGGGCAGTGGGTTAAAATCTAATCAACGCACCCGGGTTGTTCCCAAGGCGATGGGTTTTAACCCATTCTTGCCCATAATCGTGGGCAGAAAAGCCGAATACTGAATTTAGTAGAATATCATACCTATTGTAAATTTCGAAGTAAAGCAACATTTTTATACTTGAAAATGTCATTTTTTAAGCTACTGTTCGTTCACTGTGCCGATTTCCTTGAGATGAATGAGCAAGAAACTCTAGGGATTGCGCTTTTCAAATAAACTTAAATGCCATAGAACACATATTTGTGTGGAATCTAGACTCATGTTGTTTTTCCATACATCATTATCTAACACGTAGTCTACAATTTTGTAATACGACTTTTCAATTAAAATACTTTTAATGTAAGTTTTAAACTTAGGAAATGGTATATGCTCCAGAATCTTATTGTAAAAACGTATACATAAATTGCCTAAATTGCTCGTCCAGCGTCTGCACTGCAGTGCAAACTGTTGGGCCGCTGACACCAAACACTTTATGACATCACAACCATAATAGCGTCATACAATCATCATTTCAATCAATGATCATTTTGCTAAAAGTGTATTAGTACCTGTTGTGTCAGCTCAAATAACAATAAACAAGTTTCTAATTCGATTTCCAATAAATGTTTAAAAATCTCAAAAAAATCCTTCAATTATTTTTTTGTTTGGTCAAATACCCTATTAATGTACTACGCACACACACACCATATTTACATTGTAATATAAATTAACGTAGTATTTAGAACTGTCTGGCGTATTTATCATTGACATGTCGATGACCGTGGTATAAGACCGATGACTGCTAGATTCGTTAGTTGTAAAAACTACAAGACTAATTGGTTTATACGGTTTTTATAACATTATGTAATTTAAATAGATATTACAGAAATAGTTCTTGTAGAGTCAACTGGAATAATATTATATATACTATTATACTTAGAATAATAACGCATAGAATGACAGTTTCATATCAAACGAATTGTCACAAGTGAGGCAAAAGTCAAATTCATGTAGGCTAGTTTTAGTAGTAGGTTAATTTTCGGTTTTAGTGAATATTTATATAAAAATACAAG